GATGTGGTAGATATACGTCTGGTTTACTTACACTAGATTCAAGAAGGTAGGGATATATTCTGTTTTAACATGAAAACCACATGACTTTTGGCTTTTAATGTTTAGCAATTCCATGATTTTTAACGTCTGCTTTAGACTCCTCCCGCTTTTAACATTTGGAAACTCTATGACTTTTAACGTCTGATTTAGACTCCTGCCACTTTTAACATTTGGAAACTCCATGACTTTTAACGTCTGATTTAGACTCCTTCCATTTTTAACATTTGGCAATTCTATGACTTTTAACGTCTGATTTAGACTCCTCCGATTTTTAACATTTGGCAACTCTATGACTTTTAACGTCTGATTTAGACTCCTCCCATTTTTAACATTTGGCAACTCTATGACTTTTAACGTCTGATTTAGACTCCTCCCATTTTTAACATTTGGCAACTCTATGACTTTTAACGTCTGATTTAGACTCCTCCCATTTTAACATTTGGCAACTCTATGACTTTTTAACGTCTGATTTAGACTCCTCCCATTTTTAACATTTGGCAACTCTATGACTTTTGACGTCTGATTTAGACTCCTCCCACATTTGGAAATTCCATGACTTTTAACCTTTGATTTAGACTCCTCCCACTTTTAATATTTGGAAACTCCATGACTTTTAACGTCCGATATAGACTCCTCCCACTTTTAACATTTGGAAACTCCATGACTTAACGTCCGATTTAGACTCCTCCCACTTTTAACATTTGGAAACTCCATGACTTTTAACGTCTGATTTAGACTCCTCCCACTTTTAACCTTTGGCAACTACATAACTTTTAATGTCTGACTTCACCTGCACCCTCATTTAACACTTGTCAACTCCATGACTGATTTTAGCCTCCCTGTTTTTATTTTGTTGTGCTCTGCTTGCTGTGAATAGATAAACACTATTCGTCGAAAAGGCCTGTTGAATACTCTGTAGCGATTGCTATGTTTTTCCACGCCCACATTTTATTCGCCTGCGATTGGCTAATAAATCACTACTACTTTTATATAGGACAATTTAGCCATCGCGGTTGTTTCTTTGAATCTTTCGGTTTTTTCTTTTGGTTAATTTTTAACCAATCACATATTTTAGTGCAAGTTTTCCCGCGTTGCCGTGGGAGCCTACCCTTTTTCCATAAAAGAGGCGATTTTTTCACAAGTCGTCAGTAAGATCCAGTAACATTCACCTGACCATACAAATCCATGATTTTTGCTCATAACATTTTCAAACGCACACACAGATACAGAATTTCGTAATATAAACTTACATTTCTCTCTGTGACTTAGCCAAGCTCAATCAACCAGGACACTGTTGATTTCGAACTATTCTATAACACAACACATTTTTGATCAATTCTAACAATCTAATCAATCTAATATTGATTCCTGAACATTTTCTCTCAAAAAGAACTTCCATCGAACAATCAATTACAAATCAAAATACAATTAAAGGGGAACAACTTCTTTCCCTTAATCTATACATTGAATACAATATGTTTTTCTTGTATGTTATTTCAATATATACTTGTTGATTCACAGTTTAGAGTTTTTGTTGTTTTTGTTGTGTACTTGAATCCTGTACGTTGAAAGTATAATAATATAAATAGTATTGGTCTATCTACAAACGGACACTTTTACAATTGGTAACCCCAATGTTCCAAAAATTAATCTTTCAACCAATAGGCCCTTACAACTCTGTTAACAACACTTCAAAATTTTACGGAATTACTAACTAACCAAAACCTTTTTTTTGTGCCAAACTAAGCCAAGCTTATTAAATTACAACCAATCAGAAAGACGATTTCAAATGCTTAGCTCTGTTTACGTTCTGCCTATTTACATGCATTATATTCATACCTTTATTAATGTTTGGTTTTATGGAATTATTTCTTTTTTCAGCCATCAAAACCGTCAAGAAAGAATCTCTACCGGCATTATCAACTGGCACCGTTATTAAATCATGGCGGGCACACAGGCACATAAGCCTTTCCCCTGACATTTCTCAACTTCTCCCATCCTCTCCTGCTGTAAATAAAATTCCTTGTCTTTATTTTTTCTTTTTAAAGAATAAAATCTCTCTACAGAAAAAAGCATGCTTCGTTATATTTATGTTCTTTTGGGCATTTTCTAAGTTGTTAAAACATTGAGAATTGTTTAATATTCAGACAAGCCATACTGTTCTAAAATGATAGCAATATTTGAGTCCATGATTTGTTTTACAAGCAACTTTTGACCAGTACTCAGGTTGCTTACATTTTTGTGCAAGAATTAATACTAATTTTGTATAAATAGTTGCTTGATAGTTACTATAACAGCGGAATATCTCATTACTAAAATGGGTATATGTTTTGTGAGTGATAATTACATATTTATGTTTTATAGAATAGATTTAGAGAAATGTTAATGTCAGCTACAATGTAAAAAAAATAGAAAACATGGTTAAAAAACAAATAACTTCAACATGTAAAGAGAAGTTTTTTCTTATTTTTTTAAATTAATATTTTTAATATTGTTTTTCTTTTAATTTTATCATTTTTCTGAAATAAAAAAAACAAAAAACAAAAAAAAATTATGCCCCTCGCCACACACACACTCTGACCCCCCCCAAAAAAAAAAAAAAAAAAAAAAATTAAATTCTTTTTTATTTCAAAGGATATTGTTTGACTTTTTAAATTTATTCTTCTGAGGAAACGAAATATTAAATGCATTTAATAAAATTTCTAAATGTTATATTTCAAGTAAAAAAAACGAAAGGAAAATGAAAGGAAAAGGGAAGGAAAGAAGATGAAGAAAGAAAAATTGTAAAAAGAAAAATGAAAAACGAATATAAAAAAGAGAGAGAGAGAAAGGAGAAAGGAAAAGGGAACAAAAAATGTAAAAGCAGAAAATTTTAAAACAAATAAGAAGGGAAAAGCAAAAGAACGTGTAGAAAGACAAAGGAAAACGAATAGAAAAAGAAAGAAAGAAAAACTCATAATGAAAAATTAAAATGTAAGGGAAAAGAAAAAAAACAAACGAAACAAAAACTAACACACCCCGCCCCAAAACTGTTAAGGGTAACTTTTGAATCACTTTCAGAAAGTTGACAAACTTCCCAAAAGAGAAACATCCCATCATTCACATATACAGAAAAAAAAAAATTGCAAATTGATTTTACAAGGAATTCCGTTAATGTAACATAGAAAAAAAAATATCAGGAAAAATTGGACAAAAATCACAGAATTACACCACTCAAAAAACAAAAATCAAAATGGCAATTTTTGATTTTGTCATGGAAAGATTACTAAATTTCTTCAATAAATTTTTGTGAGGATTTTTCTTTTTCCTTATTTAAATAATTCTTAAATATTTGAATTTTCTTATAATATTTATATTTAATTATTAATCAATATATTATTTTCCTTAATATTTACTTTCTAAACTCTTAATTAATCAAAACGGAGGCACAGAGAAAGAGGCATTTATTATATATTACGAATATTTTCCTGTTTATTGATTTTATTATTCAAGGGAGACAATTCCGACCTAAATTCTTTTAAATTGGCTTTAATTTTCGTGCAACTATATTATTCTAGAAAAAGAAAATATATATTTCTTTCAGAAAGAAAGAAAAGAGAAAAGAAAAGAGAATATATAATTTTAATTTAAATTTTTTTATTTTTGAATTTTATTTAACTGCTTAGTTCATTTTCTCTTTACCGGGGTGGGGGGAGTGACTTAAGACAATTTCTGTTCTAATTTTGGAGATTTAAATTTAAAAAAAAATATATCATTCTTACTGTTAGTGACTAGTCAATGTGAAAGGTTATTTTTTCTTTCTTTTTTGTATAAAATATATTTATCTTGGATTCTTTTGTAATTAATTATTATTATTTTTTATTTTTATTTTCCATTCCAAGAAACATTTGATGATAAATTCATCATAAAGGCTTTTGGGGAGTGAATTCCGACATAAACGTCATCAATGTATAAATTATAAGCTGGAAACAAAGAAAAGTTGACATATGTAAATTTAAAACCAAATCTAAAATACACACACACACAGAGAGAGAGAGAGAGAGAGAGAGAGAGAGAGAGAGAGAGAGAGAGAGAGAGGACATGCTTGTCTCTTTATAAATTTAAACAGCGCCACCTATGGGGGTTTGATGAGGTCATGTCGGTTCCTTTTTCACTAGCATCATGGAAAAATGTATTCCTTTTTTTCTAATTATTCATCATTATTATTTTATTTATTGATTTTATTTCATTTTCCCACATTAGTTTCCATATTTGTGTCGTTGCCATGGATATCTATCTTGAAGATTCTTTGAATTAACAGATCGCGACATCTGTTAGAGAGATGAAATTTAAATTTTTATTATTGCATTATTCCAAAGTTTGAACACATCAGCAGATAGCTATTAATATCAACGACTGAGCACAAATAGTTATTAATTTAAAAAATAGTAATTAATGTCTAATATTATCCATAACTACATGTACAAGAATGTCATTTTTGATAAAAGTTTAAAAAAAATAACCATAAATATATAAAAGATGTGTATATTGTCGAAAATTTCTTTTTCCACAATATAGCTATTTGTGTTGTTATAATGCACACACATACACACACGTACACACACATACGCACACGTACAGACGCATATACATACACGTACACACCCATACACTTACACACACACGTACACACATACACACACATACACACATTTCCTAATTGTTAAGTTTTAATATTTTTCTTTCCTAGTGCATTTTCTCTCTTTGTTAATTGTTTATTCACACAATCACGAATTCTGTGACCGACCCTATTAGGATCGTAGGGTTAATGCTGTTTTTTTCCGGGCAAAATGGACTGACAGATAGACTGACACAGCTCAACAATTGTCCGGGCTGGTTTTGAATTTATAGCTTTTCCTTCTCCTAGACTGGTTACCCGGATATTGCGGTATGGATGGCTTACATCTTGTATGACAAATACA